AGATATAATTTTGCAAATAAGTTATAAGAGCTAGACCATTTAAATAGTCGAATAAACCTTGTATTATTTATGTCAATACGATTTTCTGCTTGTGCCCTTTAAATGACCTATCGTATCTTTTTAATGTACATGTTTAGAAACGTCGAGCTTTTTGTTTGCTTGCGTCTATTGTTGTCAATAGTTGTTTCGACATTCTCGCAGTGAAAGGACGCGTTGTTATTGTGATCACACTCGTCTCTAGTAACGTAAAATGTAAGCAAATATTTCTCAAAATTATTCCAACCACTTGGGCATTTTAAATAACTTCCGAAAATGTAGGTACTAATTGTATTTTTCTTTTGCAGAAAAGGCCCATTGTATTCATTACCGGTCGCGTGCATCCTGGTGAAAGCAATTCCTCCTGGATCATACAAGGCTTACTGGATTTCCTCCTGAACGAACACGATGAAAAGGCAGCGCAAGCCAGAAATAGCTACATTTTTAAAATAATTCCAATGCTTAACCCCGAGGGAGTTATTCTTGGACAGTAAGTAAAGTTATTAAATTTTATGATAGTAACAACAGCTATTTAATTAAGTAAACTGTATTTTCATTACCTCTACAATGGACCTGAAGGTCTAAAAGGACTTACAACCTAACGTGAGCGTTCTTAAGATAACAATTAAATTATATTACAGAGACCAGGTATGACACAGTTTTGTAAAAATAATTATTATTATTAAACGTACAATATATAGGTAATACTAACGATAAGACTAATGTAACTCGGGTGAAACAGCCAGGAGAAGAATTTGAAAGGCATTAGACATATTATTAGCCGAAAACTTACTGGAAAGTTGGCCGAAACATAGGCAAATTGTAGCCGAAAACGTTTAAGATATACGGTATCCAAAAATGTCTTAAAATCAATACAGATGAGAATATTTACGCTGAAAATTGGTTTTTGTTTCTTATCTGAAAATATTTCGGCCTGTACTCAACTTGTTCAAACATATTCGAATGTTTTAGCCCTAACTCGACTTATTCGATCACATTCTAATGTGTTTCAGTGAAAACTCAAACTTTTGGTATTTAAATGTGATTCTTTTGAATGTGTTTTGGCACCAGATCGACTTGTTTAAACACATTCGAATGTGTTTCGGCCACAACTCGAATTGTTCAAACATATTCGAATGTGTTTTGACCCTAACTCGACTTATTCGATCACATTCGAAAGTGCTTCAGTGAAAACTCAAACTTTTGATATTTAAGTGATTCTTTCGAATGTGTTTCGGCACCAAGTTAGCTTGTTCAACCACATTCGAATGTGTTTCGGCCCCAACTCGAATTGTTCAAACATATTCGAATGTGTTTTGGCCCTAACTCGACTTATTCAATCACATTCGAAAGTGCTTCAGTGAAAACTCAAACTTTTGATATTTAAGTGATTCATTCGAATGTGTTTCGGCACCAAGTTGGCTTATTCAACCACATTCGAATGTGTTTCGGCCCTAACTGGACTTATTCGATCACATTCGAAAGTGCTTCAGTGAAAACTCAAACTTTTGATATTTAAGTGATTC